CAATATTAATGTCAATGTTGATTTTGCAAAGATTTCACTGAACTGCTTAAACACCTACCAAGGAACATAAGCAAAACACAACCCTTTACGTTCCAGGCATTAATTAATAGTACATACAAATACTCAAAGCAATTAATATTAGAAACTCAGATCTTGTTTATTGCCGGTATATACATGTAAATTTTGAAACATGCTGTCGTCGATTGTACTTTCCTTGAGTAGACACACGTACAAGGAAGAACAGACTGGGAAATAAAGGCTCCTCTTTGAAAGAGTTCCTGGCTTCTCGTCTGAAATCCTTGACTTGGCTGGTGCAGAATCTGACCCTATGTGAAGCTGCATGAAAGAAGAAAAGGAGGTGGCAGTGCCCGCTCTCCTTCTGGGCCTCTGCCCACATATGGGCTGCAGGCCAGGGATGGCTCTGGCCCTCTGCCAGGGGGATGCTGCCCACTCAAGTCTTTATTTGAGAAAGCAAGGGAAGAGTTCTGCACGGGTTGGCGCTTTAAAACTTGGGGTGCATGGGCAGGGGGAGAAGCTGCCACTCTTTTTTTTTTTTTTAGTGTGACAAGAGAACTGGACTGTAAAATAAAATTCTCATGTTTTTATTTTTACATCTGTTTTGATCAACATTAGAAAACCAGAGTATAACTGAACAACAACGAAAGACTAAATTAGATATAAGACATGTATGACCAATGTTAGGGTAAAAGTAGAAAACATTAACAAGGATCAAGATGAGATATCACTTCACAATTTAGCCATCTGTAGCGTATTTCCGCACCACACATATCTGAAATGTTCTAGGGGGATTTCCAACCTTTTTCATGAATCGGGTAAGTCAAGTGAAAGCCATAAGATATTATCATCAATGTCATTTGAATCTGAATTTTAAACTTCTCTACACAGAAGGGTTTCCAGTAGATAAGGTCTAGAAAGAGCCTGGTAGGGATGAGCAGCTAAGAACTCACTTGCCAACTGAACCATGGGCAGTTTAAGCCTAACCATGGCTCCCCCAGAGAACACAGGGCAGTTTGTTTACATAAAGATTGACAGCCTAGGGCACCCTAGCGGGGAGTTCTCTTGCCAGGGTTGCAAGGCTTGATAGTCCACTGGACAGGAACAGGTTTGGGTGAGTGTTTTGTTTTCTTACAGGACTGAACTTTTGAAGAAGGGACAAATTTATCAAAAGGATCCCCGAAATCTCATATGATCCTATTTACACTTTTAAGCCATTTGATGGCAAGGCTTTATTTTCTACAATATGATCATAGCAGGTACAAATGAGCACTGCGCAGAACCATGACGGATAGCAATGAAGTACTCCATCCTTAGACCAAGCCCGTTTGGGCCAATCCATCTAGACGTCATGGTCTTCTGCTCTAATAAAGGCTCAACACTGAAAACACTCAGTCACTGCAAGAGAAATCAGCTAATGATTCTTGATCAAGCTTTGAATGTGCTTCCTCAGACAGCTGCACACAGGTGTACTAACCTACTAGTGAGCTGCACCTGCTTCAAGTTAGCTCATAAAGTACATGGTAAGAACGGCATTGTCAAGTGTTAATTTGTTGAATGTAAATCAGACTTTTTCTCTGTAGCCTGTGGCACACAACCGAGCTGTGAGGAAGGAAATGGGAGTGAGTGCGTTTCCCTTGCCTTTCTGGAAAACAAAGGTCTTTTCAACCGAACCTAAGTCTGTTCTGGCAAGTTAAAAACTGAGTGATTTTTCACTGAGAAGCATCTGGGTATTTGTCCTTTTTATTATATCTATAAAGAGCTCTTTGAACCTACCAAGCATGACAATATTTTAGAAAGCAGCTAAAACTCCTTCACAAGCTGCTGAAAGTTGTAAATAAGAACTTATATCGTTCTTGCCTTCAACCACTATCCTCCCATTCACACCCCAAATGCAATGATGATTTTTGTTACTATCTGAAATCTTCTGTTTCTGGGCATTACGGACAGCAATGATAGATAAAAAGGAAATTAGCTTCTGCAGATTCTGAGCTGAAACTCTGCATGCCGTACATGGAGTGAATCTACTCCGGAGGTCGCACCCCATTTGATAGGAATCAGCCTAAAATCTGAAGTTGGTCTAGCCATACAGGGATGAGATTTTCATTCATGATGTACAGATATAAGCACGTTTTCATAAAATGGAAGCTTTTGCTGAATCCTAAGGTTCCTACATTCCTGTGTGATAAGCTCAATTCTTGATTTAAAAATGCTACTCAAACGTGTCATTTGCCAAATACTTACTTAAATGCACCATTAACGTAATTAAAAGCAGAGGTGTCGAATGCTTACAGGTAGATGTTTCTGGCCATCACTCCTTAAAGGAGCGAAGCACTGTACCTGTTCCACCGAGAGAGCCAGGTGAATGGGGTCGCCTCTACACAATCTCAAGAGTTGCCTGGCATACTCTCCAGAGATTAGCTGCAAACTCACACCGATGTAAGTTTCATTAAATACAAGCATTGCCTTTACAGAATTTGCCAATGTTTTCTGAAACATGAAAAAGTCGTGAACTGGATTATTTTTTACTTCACTTCAAGCCTTATAAAGCTTTGCTGTACAGCTACAAAAACGCCACACCCACGTAAGTATTATAAGAACATATATGCATTAAACACTTCAGAAGTAAACAAAAACTGCAAACTTTTGTGTCAATCAATGGTATGCATGCTTCAACTATACTTATTCTAAAACTTGACTTATTTGTAAAGCAACCTGTACTCCAAATTGCTCAGTCTCACAAAGTTTTAAAGGAAAAATGTACACAGAGCAAAGAAAGACATTTATACATACTCATTGAGTAATACAGTTTTTTTTACAATTGTGAATTTGCAAAATGATTATTTTATTTCAAATCAAACACTATATTTTTAAGATTCAAATAAATACCAGGGATCTCTGAGGTCCTTTATGGTGATCTCATCAGCTCAAACCAATTGGACTTTCCTCGTCCTTTGTTGTTTGTTCTGCCTCCGCATTAACATGGCTGCTAATTATAATACCCTGGTGGCACAAAAAGTCTGAAAGGGGAAAAAATTCCCTAGAGAGTATAAAATACGTCCTTTGGATTTACATATGTGTTTCTTAGATTGAGTCCCCCTGGGCAAGAGCTGTCTCTAATCTGTTCCAGAGCTCAGCCAGGATTCGAATCTCTGGCTCCTGAGTGATGTAGCATTCCTCCAGGACACTGGTGCACGCATGCAGGCAGGCAGGCACCCATACATGAATGTGCCCACATACACAGGGAAAACTAACCTTTAGTCTTGTCAGATTACTTTGCACATTAACTTTTACTATTCATTCACTTGTAGTTTGGGAAAGTTATTTAAGTTCCCCAAGAGTTTGTATTAGGCATCATATAGATTTAATGCCTACATTAGCCATAATAACATCCTGCTGTATTAAATGATTAAAAGTTAAAGCACATCTTAAAAATTATGCATGAATGCTCCTAGTCACCCAATCATCCTTATAACATCATGCTTTTGCCAGTGAGTTAGCAAACACATTCTTTTCTGAATCATACATGAATTCGTAAGAACGGTTTTAAATTAGGTACACAATTTGGCACGCTTGGCCTAATGAGTGACTTACCAAAATCCTCTCTCCCTCTCTCTCATTATTCTGGTTAGCTTCACCCTTAACAGTGAAACCCCTTATTGCAAAATGCAAGCCTGTGGCACCAAGAACGGAGCTGGTTTACTCAACATTGAGGAAACTCTTACAGCTATAGTTCTACTTCCACATGTTTTTTCATACCTCCAAGTGCATAAGTAATTCATAGGTCAAAACATACACTGTCCAATAACTTCTTTGGAAACTAAAAATTGTACTAAGACAAAGCACCACAAAACAGCACTGCTTCAGCTAACCATGAAACAGCAACAACACGCACACACGAGCTCTGTGGCAACAGATCAACTATAAAGAACACCTAAGGTATGCTACTGCCACTTCCAGCAGCAAATCCTGGCTCTTTTGAACACTTTACATTTGGGGATCTCAGAACTCTTCTTCATATAGATAGTCCATTCAGTCTTTATGAAACAATTGTTAGAAAGCAGTAGTTTAGAATAGCTTATACTTTCCAAGGGAAGCTATTTGATAGCAGGAATGAGCAAATTATCCACTTAGGGCAATAGTTTTTCACCTCTACTCTCCTCAGCCCATCTATCCATTGTCCTTTCGGGAACTGAAATTGAGAAGCACAAAGGTTTTCATTATTGGCTCTTCATTTCTTTGCAACTGTACAAAATTCCTCAAAAGTACATCCCATGGGATCTGACAACAGCATAGATTTCATGAGCAATCATACACTCCATATCAGACAGAATATTGTCCACTGGACAGCATTTGAAAGAAGTGTGATTTAAAGGTCACCAGTTCGCTGTGTGGCAATGGTGTTGCTGAGTTCATCTAAGTCTTTCTCTTTAATCTGCCTACTTTTAAAAACTCAATGTGACTTCTAGATGAGACTGCTATTAAGGTAACAATTGTCCGAGATAGGGGTTTGTTAGAGCACTGTACTTATAAGACAATATATTTCTAAAAATATAACACATGCCAATGAAGAAGCAAAAACGAGCCCATGAAGAAAAGTCAAAAATCCCCTAATCCTATTTAAGCACCTGTATAGTAAATTACTTGTATGTGACAACCACGGTGTTGCGCTAATCGAAATGAAAAGCATAAAGGAACAAGAGCTACCCCTTGCTTTGCTGAAAGAAATGAAAGACAACAAGTTTAACCCGCACCTGCCAAATTGTCTTCTGAGGCAGAAATAGGTGGGGGCGGAAGGCTCAGATCTCCTGTGCCTCACAGTGCGTCTCCAAGAAATCATTTCCAATACAGGCAATCTATCTGTCACCTTTTCTATTTTCTCTTCTTTTCCTTCCGTTCTCCTCAGTGGCAGACCCTTTCCTGCACTCCCCCCGCCACGATCGCAAAGACACATTCCAGAATAAGAGGACCCAAGTGTCACTTACCAGTTGCATGCCACAGATAAAGATAAGCGTGCACCTGCCACTGCAATAACCCATGGTTTCCGAGACCCCTGCCACAGCCAGACTGTCCCACGTCGGCCACCGTCGAGCACCCACTTTATCCAATCAGAGCGCGGGGAAGGACGGGCAAACCTGCCGAGGGCTCGGGGGCTCCGGGCTGCCGCGGCCAGCGTCCTGGGAAGTGACAGGCATTAGGACCCGCTGGGGCG